CAATCCTCACCTGGCTTAGCTGTGTTGAAACCGACAGAAAAGACATTGAAAAAAATCCTCAGCTCCGCACTCAGAAAAGTCTTTGGCACCATCAACTCTTCCTAGCCTCCTCAAACAGCCTAAAAAAGAAGAAAGACGTCCCTAAAATTAAGAGCAAGCACTCTGCTAAAGGAGATCGGTTTTGAGATATTCCGCCTGCCTAAGCCTCCCTTCCATCTCCTATTCTACAGGACTCTCCTTGGCCTTGAGAATCCCTTTCAGAGGAAAGGGCATCGCTTCCATCCCAACAGCTTCAGGTGTTGGCTGTCACACCGAGCCACTCACCATCTTTGAGCCAGTTGGAGGTGGACGTACTGGCCAGCCAGGCTTCTGCCCATTAAAGCCCTGTTTCCACCGGGCAGGCAACTATTATTCAGTTATTGGGCTCGGAGTCCTCGACGCAGAGTTCTCCACCCTGAAAAACACCGTCCAAGAGAAAACACACCTCCCCAGATTGCCACACTCATCGGAAGGTAGTGATATTGCCCCCTTCTTCTCGACATCGAAACAAATCGGATTCTAATAAACTGATATACGTCAAAATCGAACGGAAACGCCATCACCATCGGCATCGATATGAAGATTCTGAGGATCACTCCTCTGATGATCAAGACTATGGCAAGCGCAGAAAGATACCACTCCTCTGATGATCAAGACTATGGCAAGTGCAGAAAGGTACATATATGCCTCGTTGTCTTCCTCATCTTCTTTGTCGCTGCCTAGACATCGACGTAGAGTTCACTACGACACCAATCTGGTGGCGCCTAGACCAGCCAAGCATCGGGTCTTAACTAAAGAAGTTTCTCGATGTTGATCTTCCAACTTGAAAGCTACCCATGCTACTGTAGTCACCTCTCAACCTCAATCTAAGACACTGGTTACCCGGCAACCTTCCAAGCATGCAGCATCCAAACAGGTGCATAAAAGGCAACAAGCAACTCCGTTACCATCTCCTTTCTTTGATGAAGACTCTAGCGTCTTCTGTTTCAGACCAGGAGCAGGAACTCTTCTGTGACTCATCAGAAGAATCTCCTATCAATGGTCGCACTCCCAAGTCTGATACTGGGGACCCACATCCATCTTCCCCCTCGGAAGATTTCTTGTCTTATTCCCAAATGGTTGTTTGAATGGCTAGATCTTTGCAATTGGAGGTTGAACAATCACCTCCACCTAACCAGGACTTAGTGTTTGATGACATTAACCAAGACCGTTCTCTGCCTCTCAGCCTTGCCTTCATTCCAATGCTGATGGATCTTATTAAAGAATCATGGACTCTTATATCTGCATGCGTGCAAATTACCCACAGGATGGAAAACCTTTACCATACACATGGTAACGGTGCTGCCTTCTTCACAAAACACCCAGCACCTAACTCAGTTATAGTATAGTCTAACCTATCCAAAGCGGGTGGTAATGCCAAGGTTACCCCCACCAATAGAGAAGGGAGAAAATTTGACGTGTTGGGGTGAAAGTTTTATTCCTTTGCTACTTTCTTGCTGAGAGTAACCAATTATCCAGCAGTCATGGGGGCCTACCAGAGGCAGCTGTGGGCTAAGGTACTTCCAGCTCTCCAAGCTGCCCCGGAAGAGACTAGCACTGATTTCTTTAATGCACACACCAAAGCACTTACGGTAGCAAAACATCAGAGGCTGGCTTCTCGATGCATCTTTAGATGCAACAGACGTTGCATCTAAATCTACGGTAGCAAAACATCAGAGGCTGGCTTCTCAATGCATCTTTGACATCAGCCATAGTTCTGAGAAGGCATGCATGGTTGAGATCCTCAGGAATTACAGAAGATGCCAAGTCACACATTGAAGAACTCCCTTTCGATGCAGTGGACTTATTCAATGAAAAAACAGACAAAAAGATGGAGAACTTTCATAAGATCAAGAAAGCCGCCAAATCATACACAATTCAGCAACAACCAAGGTATCAAAAACGTAAGTGGCGCAAGCAATATGGTAACCAACAATATCAACAGACATCCAGCCAGTCTTACCGTTCCTACAAGCCAACTAATCAAATCAGATCTAATCAACATTCATCTTCAACTGTTCCTTTCCGACCTCAGACTTCTACTCACCGCCGTCAATCTTACCGTCAGCCTGCAGAGAAAGGGAAGCAGTATCTTTGACTCAGCCACAAAAATTGCTCCTGTCCTTCATCATCGTCCCAGATTGGCTCCATTCCTACACAATTGGTCATCAATCACCAAAGACACTTGGGTATTAAATATTATTCAATTCGGTTACCATCTAGAATTTTTAGATCTTCCACCTATCAGACATCTCAAAGCTACATCATACACACCCACTCTCAAAGAAGAGATTTTATCTCTACTTAAAAAATAAGCCATTCAGCGTGTGCCATCTTGAGACATACTGAACAGGTTTTACTCCCGTTATTTTGCTGTACCAAAAAAAGATGGAGGCATCAAGTTCATCTTAGACCTCAGACTTCTAGATACTTACTTTTGTACAAGGCACTTCCGCATGGTCACGTTAGATTCCATCATTCACCTCCTAAGTCAGGATGACTGGTTCGTGGTGATAGGCCTGCAGAATGCTTACTTCCATATCTCCATTCATCCACATCATCAAAAATACCTTTTTTTTCTTCATAGATTCTGCTTATCAATTCTGCGCCCTTCCCTTTGGACTTTCTACCGCACCTCAAATGTTTACAAAATGCATGGCATCAGTAGGAGCATTCCTTCATTTTCACAATGTCACAGTATTCCCATATATAGACAACTGGTTGGTTGTAGCCACGTCTCATCAGAAAGCGATTCAAGACACCAAGTTCATCCTGGAAACCTTAGGAAACCTCGGCTTGAGGGTAAATATGAAGAAACCTCATCTCGTTCCATCTCAAGTTCTCAATTACATAGGAGCACGCCTGGATTCAGTCAGGACACACATCTTCCTTCCACCAGAACGAATCCAGAAGTTACGTTGGGCAATCCACCAATTCCAGCTGTTCGCCAGGGTTTCAGCTTACCACACTCAACATCTTCTGGGTCTAATGGCATCAACCACATCTGCCCTTCAGCATGCAAGGCTCAAGATGTGGTCTCTGCAGACTTGGTACCTGTCCAAATTTGACCTTTTGACAGACAACCCAGCAAAACGCCTCCGTGTCACGCCAGAGTTGGCGAAGCAGTAGCAGTGGTGGATGTTTATACTTCATCTTCTCATGGGATGTCCATTTCGGCCTTTACAACTCACAATTCAAGTGACAACAGATACCAGCTCCACAGAATGGGGAGCACACTGTGGTCTGCACAAGATACATGCCCTCTGGTCCAAATGAGAGACACAGCTCCACATAAATCATCTGGAGATGTGGGCGGTCATCAAAGCATTTTGTGCCTTCTGTCCTTTGACACAAGGTTGCGGTGTTCAAGTGGTCACAGACAACACCTTGACCATGTATTATATAACTAAACAAGGAGGCACCCACTCAGTGTCACTTCTCTATCTAGCGATTCATCTGTGGGAATGGTGTTACGATTGGCACATCTTCCCTGTAGCCATCCATGTGCAAACAGACAACAATGAGGTGGTGGACACGCTCAGCCTTTTGAACATTCAAACGCACGAGTGGGAACTTGACACACCCACGTTTCTGATGATCTGCAAACAGTGGGGATTTCCGGTAGTGGATATGTTTGCAACTCAACACAATACAAAGTGCAGCATGTTCTGCTCTCAAGCGGGCAGAGGAAGAGCATCGATGGGAGACGCTTTCATGGTGCAGTGGACAACCAACTTCCATATCTTTTTCCACCCATCCCACTCATCCAGAGCTCGCTAGTCAATATTCGACAGGTGAGGACCAATGCCATTCTTATAGCACCATGAAGGCCTCAACAACTGTGGTTCACCATGCTCAAGATGATGAAATCGGACTTCCTAAAGCTACCACCTTTTCTGCATCTGCTCATGCAGAATGCGGGCAACATTTGCCACCTGGACCTCGACTCTTTACATCTGACGGCCTGGAGGATTCTCCCATGATTAAGGAAGTTATAGACATTGCCAGAAAGCCTTCTACGAAGCTTCTATATTATAAATGGAAAAAAATTCTAAGGTTCGCTCAATCTAGAAACCTGCAACCTGTGCCAGTGTCGCTTAATTCACTACTCACCTATTTGCGTCACTTGTTTGATCAAGGGTTGGCCCTTTCTGCACTAAAAGTTTATATTTTGGCTGTTGTCTCTTAGTAACCACTTGCATCCGAATCAACGTGCTTATTCTCCAATCCAACCTTAAAACTGTTCTTAAAAGGACTTTGCATCCACCCACTAGACCACCACTTCTTTAATGGTCTTTGCATACTGTTTTGTGTGCCCTTACACGCCCGCCATTTGAACCTATGGGATCATCGGCCATTCAATTGCTATCTTTTAAGACTTTGTTCTTGGTAACGGTCACTTCAGTTAGAAGAGCAAGTGAACTGGCCGCTCTCTGAGCTGATGCTCCATACTTACAATTTTTCCAGGATAAGGTGATTCTTTACCCTGATATTTCTTTCCTCCCTAAAGTTGTATCCACTTTCCATGTTAATCAACCTGTGACTTTAGTGATGTTGTTTCCAAATTGTTCATCACAAGTTGAGTGTATGCACCATTCATTAGATGTACGTTGTGCTTTGGCCTTTTACACGTCAAGGACTGAGGACTTTCGCACTTCTCCAAAGTTGTTTGTTTGCTTTCATGGCCCACACAAAGGCTCTCCAACATCATCACAAACTATACAAAGATGGCTTGTGTTTACTATCGCTTTAGCAAATGAACTTGCTGGCAAAGCCCCTCCAGAGCTGTTGAAGGCACATTCCATGAGAGCCATGGCAACGTCCATCCTGTTACGTGGTGTTGACATTTCAGACATTTGCCGAGCGGTCACATGGTCTACTCTGTCCACTTTTGTGTCACATTACCATTTAGACCTCAGGGCCAAAAAGGAAGCAAATTTTGGGAGAGCAGTGTTGACTTTGTTATTGGCGTGACAGCCCACCTTCTGGTAAGTGAGCTTGCTAGTCACCCATTTGTGTGCATTCACAGAGGCCATAAAGAAGAAAGAGAGGTTATTTACCTGTAACCATGGTTCTCTTGAGTGGACCTCTGTGAATTCACACATCCCGCCCAGCCTCCTCTCTTTCCGTCACTTATTTCTTGGCGAATGAACTTCAAGCTTTGTTAGTGGTGGATAAAATGGAACTGAGGCATAGGGCGGGCAGCGCATGCGCTTTAGGGGCAACGTTCAACTAATGTTACTTTTTTGAAGCTGTAGAATATTCCGAGGAGTCCAGTGCAAGTGTGGACAGAACCCATTTGTGTGAATTCACAGAGGTCCACTTGAAGAATCATGATTACAGGTAAGTAACCTCTCTATTTCTTCGACCCGTCCTTGTCCTTCTTTTTAGGTGACAGGCTGTGGGATCATGCCGAGGATGACGGTTTAGATGGCCCCTTCAGTTTGGGAGATGACGTGGTTGGGCTCAACATGGACTCAGGCAATTCCTGTCTGGGAACAGGATTCGAGGTAGGCTCCATGGAAGAGGTGGGAGGCTTAAGGGATTTCTCCCACAAGAATGAGCAGAGATGCTGGAGACGGAGCTTAAGGCCAGGTTTGGTAAGTCTCTTGCACTCTGGGCAGGACTGAGTTTGATGCCATTGCCCCGAACAAAAAAGGCAGTGGTCGTGGCCATCTGAAAGAGGGATCTTATTCACGCAAGACATGCACTGCTTGAACGGACCATGGGGGCCATAAAAAGGGCAGGAATGGGGGGGGGGAATGAAAGTAAAAATGAATCACGGAGAAGATAATTAAAATTGAAAAGCACTCACAGGGGAACGTTGAGGAATAATATGAAGCCTAAAAAGACACACAGAAAGAAAAACGATCGTGATTGAGAAAAACTGTTGCTCTAGTCGTTGAGATAGGTCTGACCTAAGCAGTGGCTAAAAAGAACTGAGGGGACTTCAGGCGAATGGAACACCCCACTAATAACATGTTTTTAAGCTCTAGAAAGTTCCAAGAGGTCCCGGGCAGGCGGAGATTAACCCATTCATATGCATTCACAGAGACCACGAAGAAGAACATGTAGTTAGGATTTGGAGAAATTGGGACTGAGAGATTTTTGTTTTCCAAAAGACAGTCTCGTAATTTGGAGACAAATCATTTGGCAGACACAGTTCTATCAAACAAAAAGGGAGGAGCATTTGGTGTCTCTCCATATCCACTGCCTAATAGGGCTGTTTGCGTCTACCTAATGGTAGGATGCATACGACAGCTGAAGCATCCTTTGGTTTCATCAAGATCTACAGGTTATTTCCCACCCACCCCCGCCCAGTGTACTTCCAGAGTTAGGGGCAATGGCGTCACTACTTTGGCTTCATCAAGATCTACAGGTTATTCCCCCCCGCCCCTGGCCCAGTGTACTTCCAGAATTAGCGTCACTGTGAGAAAGATACCTGAGCAATAAAATATGAGGGGGTAACTCTACAGAGCCTGATGGATAATTGAGACTTAGTGTGAGACATAGATGCCCTATGCTAGAGAATGGATAAAAGAAGTGTGAACTTATTAGTTCTTCTTAGACCTTTGGATGGCTTTTGGTACCATTGACTATGGTATCTTCCCAGGTTGCCTGGCTATGTTGGGTATTGAGGGCAGTATATCGCAATGGTTCCAATCCACCCTGTCAGAGCATCTTCAAAATGTGGTGCTGGACAGCACTGCTTGACACCATGGACTTTGGCCTGTGGTGTCCCCTCAGGGCTCTACTCTATGCCCTCTATTATTTAACATCTACATGAAGCTGCTGGTTGGGATTATTTGGAATAAGGTGCCCCCCAATACTGTTTCTTGTCACGGAACACCAAGGAAGCAGTCATGACTCATGAATGCTTCTGAGCTTAAAAGGTTCCCTTGACAATTTGTCCAGTCATGTCTGACTCTAGGCGGCGGTGCTCATCTCTGTTTCCAACCCATAGAGCTAGCGTTTGTCCGCAGACAATGGTCACGTGGCCAGTGTGACTATACATGAAATGCCGTTTACCTTACCTATTTATGTACTCGCATTTTTGCTTTTTGCATGCTTTCAAACCGCTAGGTTGGCAGGAGCTGAGACAAGCGACGGGGGCTCACTCCGTCGTGTGGATTCGATCTTACAACTGCAGGTCTTCTGAGCTTGCAGCACAGAGGCTTCTGCGGTTTAACCCGCTGCGCCACCATGTCCCTGCTTCCGAGCTTAGTAATGGATAAAGGTGAGCAAGAGGAAATGCAATCCTGATAAAATGGACATGCTGCTGATTAATAGACAGCCAGGGATCCCAAAATTAACCCGTTCTAGAAGGGGTTGTGCTTCTCCAGGCAGGTCAGGTTTGTAGACAGGGAGTGCTTCTTGATTCTGCACCGCCCCTGGATTCCCAGGTGACCAGAGTGATGAGGGCTACCTTTACACAACTCTGCTTCGTGTGCCAGTTAAGACCTTTCTTAAGGTGACGTTACTTAGCAACAGTCATACATACCTTGGTTACATCACACCCTCACTACTGCAACAAACTTTATATGGGGCTACCTTTAAAGAGCATTTGGGACCGTCAACTGTTGCAACATGTGGCAGCTGGGGTGTGTGCACAATATCCAAATCATATGGCCCTGATACGAAAAAGTTTGCACTCCTTAATGGGCCCCAATTCAAAATGCTGATTTTAACTTGTAAATATTAAACACCTAGTGACCTGGTATCTGTCTCATTATGAGCCTGTCCAATAATGTTCATCATTAAGATGATCACCATCCTTATTCTTTACTGTACACCTGTGCATGGGTGTGCATTATATAATTGCTTTTATTGCCATTTCTGGCACTCTGTACTGAAATATTATTTTCTGAAAGGAAGCATCTGCTTTGTGGAGGGTTTGCACAGCCTCCATGGAAAATGGAAATCCTGGAAAAATTAGATCAAATGGAAAGTCTTTATGGACAGATAATGTTCCTCTTCAAAAAGTCACCACCCACACCTAGACAGTGACAGAAATGGCCACGAGGCTTGGGAAAATATTCTACCCAAAAATAACCATGTTAGTTTTCAAAGTGGTAGCTGTGTTAGTTTGTGAAAGCATATCAACAAGAAACACAAAACAAAAACAAAAAGATAGACTGACTTTGTACTCCTTAAAGACAATTTGCTATATTTTTAAAATACAGTATGAGCTTTTGTGGAAAGCTGCTATAATATACCATATATATGTACTATACTCTAATCAATCAGTAACAGCTGTCGAGGCTCAGGAATCATGAAGTTTTGTCCTTGATGGAAAGCAGAACTGGGAAGTTATTTTCGAAAACAAAAAGATAGACTGACTTTGTACTCCTTAAAGACAATTTGCTATATTTTTAAAATACAGTATGAGCTTTTGTGGAAAGCTGCTATAATATACCATATATATGTACTATACTCTAATCAATCAGTAACAGCTGTCGAGGCTCAGGAATCATGAAGTTTTGTCCTTGATGGAAAGCAGAACTGGGAAGTTATTTTCGTGGACTACAATGAAGTTTTGTCCTTGATGGAAAGCAGAATTGGGAAGTTATTTCCATGGACTACAACTCCCAGAATCCTCCAGGTAGTGTGGACACTGGTCATCGTGGCTGGGAGATTCTGGGAGTCGAAGTCCACAAAAGTCACTTTCTTAGGCTTTGCTTCAAAGGGAGGTGGGATTGGAGCAAAGCTGCTCATACCCAGAGATGAGGAAATGCAATTTTCAAACTTGAAAAGCAGAAGGAGCAGGTTCAGGTGAGCAACTTGATGATTTCTCTCTCAACTGTGTCTTGTGTTCTCAGAGGAAGTAGAATTTCATATGTGCTGAGAAACCTGTATGCACCTCTGGAATCAAACCAAAGGAAGTTTGCTGGATATGTGTATATAAGCAAAACTTTGCTTCTTTTTGAAACAGCCAGGAATATTGGCCTCACCGCTCCCCTGCTGAGTGTGTGTAGCAAGGCCTTGTGTCTAACGAGGATACCAGTACCTCAGAAGTGGGCGACTTTGACAGCATGGAAAGTGCACACGTACTGTTACCTTGCCTGGCACCTGGCTCTAATCACACTTCACTTTAATGAGCCTTCTGTGGTGTGTGTGTTTTTTTTCTTTTTCTTTTTTGACCCATTTTAAGATGTGTTCAGCACTGAGGCTGTAATATCCCTGCAACAAGAAAGAAACATTTCTCCAGAATCTCTAGGTTCTATACTTTAATTAAATGGATTTTTTTTAAAAAAATCACAGAACATTTGCAACCTATATAAGCAACCTAAGAAGAAAAGCATTCTTCACCTGATTTAATAAGGTAACTAAAAGCTTTTTTAAAAAATAATTGGTTTACATAATCCTTGTTTAATAGAGTTAATTTGTTTTGAAGATGAGCAAGTGACATGGTTTTACATTATTGCGTGTGTGTTCCAGGGGTATAACTTTCATAAGGCTAGGTATGATCATTACCTCAGGTATGGGATCAAAACGAGTGGCAAGGCAGAGTCAGGATTCAGTTGCATGCTGCTAAGCACCACATTGCCTGCAACCATCCATCCATCTATCCATCCAGGAAGCAGTTTTTTCTGCCTTTGTGGCAGAGAAGAAGTAATTCATGTGTATGTTCTGGATTTCAGGAGGTGAGATTTGGCTCCTGTGGAGTAGCTACTTAGGAACAGCAACCTCCCTGTCTTTTCAGACAGTTGCCTTTGCATGATTAAAGAGATGATAGGGAATGGGGCTAACACGATCTCCTGAATGTTGGTGGGCTGACTAGGTCACTTGCCCACTCTGCCTTCCTCTGTTCCACTAGTTCCTCAGAGCAGGGCAGACAGAGGAGGGAGATGGACCCTGAAAGCTAATGAGGTCTACGACACTGTTATAGTAAAACTTAAGTTCCTGTTCCTTTTAAGATGTGCAAAGAACACAAAAGGGTTTTTTGCTTGCTTGCTTGCTTGCTTGCTTGTAATCAGATATTTCTAACCTACCGTAATTTCTCTCTGCAGATCCCAGGGCAGGGAGCCAATGGGATTACTTTAAGAACAATCTAGAATAGTTTACACAAAGTAATCAGGTTTTTTTTAAAAAAACTTCAAATTATGTAACTCAGAATAAAACCCACAATCTAACATATAAATAACTATCCTATGATTTTACTATACCCCAGATACTTGGGAATAGCCCTGGTCTAATTTAGCACTGAAACAAGGGGTTTAAAATGGCTTAAATGTGGTTGGATTATGACCTCGATATGCAAGCCAAAGAGACTTGTCTAAGGTCGCACATGAGCTTCATAGATGATTGGGTATGCGAAGCCGTGATTCTTATATCTACTTTAAAAAGTAACTGTAACATTGACTGTTACTATAGCTTTAATGTTGTCTATCAATATTATTTCATGCACTGCTGGTTTAACTCTATTCGTCAAAAACCTAAGGTGGCCATGTGTCTGCTGTACAGAGGACAGCACTTTGAAAGGTGGGCCAGGGACAGACTTCTGTTTGAA